GTGCCCGAGATTGCATTGTGCTAGAGATCGCATTGTGCCCGAAGACTGCATGTGCCCGAAGATTGCATTGTGCCCGAATTGCATGTGCCCAAGATTGCATTGTTCTGGAGAATTGCATGTGCCCGAATAAATTCCAATCCAGCTATAGATGCCTGAATTACAGATACACTTTCTTTACTCATTACTCACATTCCTAAGGCGTCATGGTCTAAAGGCATCATATTTCATGGCCTGCGGACATCATATCATGGCCTAAGGATTTACTTTCTGCTTATCATGATCCGTAGGTGTCATAGTCTAAGGGCATCATTTTTCATTGCCAACAGACAACATTTGCATGACCTGAGGATATAAATTTTGCGTATCATGGCCCTAGACATCATAGCCTAAGACATCATTTTCATAGTCTTAAGGTAAACATCATTGTCGATATGGGAAATTGCATCATGTTTACCTTTATCGTTAGTTTGATATACTTGCTCTAATCATATTAAAAGCTACAGATCTGCAGAGACTGACATTTTGCATACGAGATCAATCTCTCTCTTGGCTACGATTGTCATGCTTACATTTATTGCAACAAAGGCCCCATCAAACTCCTTGCTACTCGTATCACACTTTTTCATTTAATCCTTAGCTACTCATATTACCTCCTCTTTATCGGATTCTTCGGTCTTAAATCAGAAATATCTTTATCATGCCTTTCTCGCTACTCTATTCCTATCCATTCAAGCCAATACCGTTTCCGTGCGAATACCGTACCCCTCTTTCAATTTTTAGGAGTTTCGTTTGCTTCTGAGGCTAGAACCATCACACGGTTGAACATTCTTACACATTCTTAACACTAAAAAGAAAAAAAATACTTTACGGTTTAAAAGAAAAGAATTCTAAAGCATTGAACTGCTCTCGCTTTGCTGTGTTGCTGTGTAGCTGATTAGGTTTGGATATTTTGCTAAAATACTTCATTGCTGATAAAACTTTCTGCATAATCGGTTAGCTCTTCTTCATTAGTTTAAATTTCGTCTTGTATTATTTTATTACGAATGTTGTTGTGTGTTTGAAAAAATGAAATAAAAAGGGAACATCTGGGTCAGTTTTTGCTCTCTCCTCGCTCTCTGTGTGATATTATATTTGTCGTTATGCTTTACTTGTCTAAATGCTTGTTTTGCCGAATATGTATAAAATGAACATGCGCATATGTTGAATCTGCCCGTAATTAGTGCTATTGTTTTATTATATTATATTATTGTATGCCATATATTTGTCTGTATCTCACTTTAGCAGGTTTGGACTTGGTTTCAAGTTCAAAGAGTCACCAGGGATGAGTCTTTCAGATGGGATCTAGTTTTCATTCGTGTTTATAATATTTGTATTATTTTATTTGGCGTTGTAATAATTTTGTAGTAACACTCTCTATATATATGAAATAATCTCGGGGACCGTCCAAGGGGAAGGGGTTTACATGCTAATTGCTACTTTGTCGCAAACTTACTTGTTATTAGAAAGCATGCCTATAGGAGTGTGTTCTGTTTGATCGTTCCCATTCTAATATTTGCACTCAAGATCTGTCTAAAATAAAATCAATTACTTGTCACCAATCACCTACTTAAAGCTTGCCTAATTTTAGTGTAAAATTAACCATGTAGTTAAATACCTTGCTTTAGTTGATTTATATGGTCGCTTTCTTCATCGCTAATAATAAATATAAATAATGTATGACTGCTCCTTACTTCATTTACTTAAACCAAGCTCCTTACATATAATGAATGAATAACGCGTGATTATTGTCATAATTTATTTTTACAATAATTCTGCCATTTTAGAAATTATGTCAATAGGGATTTAAATAATTTTAAAGCATTTATTTGAGTGTAGTATTTATGCATATATGTTTAAATAGTTCTAATACATGCCTAAGAAAATAAATTTCAACTTGTGCACACTTAGATACCATGCCTATAGGAGTTACATAATTCTTAATATATTATTTGGGTGTAGAAATTATGCATATAGGTTTTGAGTGACTTCTCTTTTCTTATCTAGAAATCATGCCTATAGGACTAAAACAATAAAATCAATGATGCTAACTAGTTAGTTCAAATAATTTCTGCATGTTTTAGTAACTTAAGCCTGCCAGCTAATAAATTTATATTAGGTTGCTAATAAAATTTCAGTCTGTTAGTCACTTAATTAGCATATTTATAGGCTTCTAATAAATTTTCGGTATGTTTTTTTTAGTCTGCTATGAATATTCTCTATCTAAAATAAGTAATTTCTACTTAAAATAAATCAATATCTTCTCCTGCATGGTAACTGCGATATTAAATTTGTCTACCATTTAAAAAAGAGTTATTAAATCACTCTCTTGCAATAATATTTCTGTCTTTTTTAAAAAAAATCAATTGATAACTAAAATCGGCCTTTTGTAATAATTTTCTGCAACCTTTAAAATCAGTCTAATAAACTGTTGCCACTTGAAATAAACATTTCAGCATTAATAATTTGCTATTGCTTTCAAATACTTTTGTCCATTTGCATTATTATAAAGTGCCCATTTTAAATTAATTACTAATTTAATCAGTCTAATAAGCTTTACCTAACTTGTAATATTTTCGCCCATTTAAAATTAATCTATATGTTATATTGAGTGTTTGTTCGTCTATGCACACACTTAAGCATGAGACCTTTCACTTTACGTGTGTTTGCTAGCGTGCTAAATAAAAACCTAGAGGCCAACATGAGATTTACGTACTAAATGCTCGTCCAAACTGTTTGACTTGGTGTCTAGGTGGGACTATTAGGAGTTTATTTTAGTCTAAATCCACCATAATAGTAGTCCAATGCCTCTTGGATCTGAAGCGGGGACGATAGGCACCTTGTAGAGACGAAAAACATGCGGTGGTGGGGTAGGGTTAGTTTAGGCCTTATGAAGATGATGACATCGACTCGGTCTTAATGACAAACCTTGGTTTTGTCTGTCCTTACGAGTAACCGACCGAAATAAAGAAAAGTCGAGTGCTGATTCGTAAAGTCCTTCAGAGTCTCCATTTCCTTTCTCCCTTTATCTGTTTATACTTATATTTATTTGGGGTAGTTTAATTAAATAAAAAATGATATTTACTTATATAGTTGTCTACTTTCTATCTTCTCGCTATCTCTTTTAAATTTTATTTGTGCGAATTATTTAGTCTTATGTCATCACATAGTTTTGCATGTTTAATTAAATAACAAATAAATAAATTGATCTTAATAGTTTATTATTAGTTATCACTTAGCAAGCATGTTTAAATAACCAATAAATGAAGTGACCTTAAATGCTACTTGTAACCCCTACATAAATTGCATGAGACACGGCCAGGACCCACATTTTGTGGACCTCGAGGGATGCTTAACACCTTCCCCTCGAGGTAATTTGAACCCTTACCCGATCTCTGGTTTGTTGACCTTTATTTAGAATTAGTTAGGTTAGATAGGTTTCCTAACACGCCTTAATTAGTTAGGTAACGACTCTTCATTTTTTCAAAACCCAAAAGAGTTGTTAGGTCGTGCATCCGAAAGGAAGGTCCGTTTTGAGAAAACAGAATGTTGCCTCGCTGTCTCCGTAGAACTGCCGGACTGCCTTGTAGAGCTGTTGTCCAACGAAAAAGGAACGGAGGCGGCCAGCGCCTGCTGGTTCTCGCGCTGCTGCTCCTCCGTCGGATAAAGAAAGAGAGAGGGGGCGGCAGCTAGAGAGAAAGGAGAGAATAGTGAGTGAATAAAGTTTTAGGTTTGGGAGTCTTTTAGTTTTTAAAAAAGGAAAATAAGAGGATCGAATCTGGACCATCGATTTAAATTTGAATGGACGCATGAAATTTGATCTTGGATGATCTAATTTAGATGGACGACTACGATTAAAGGAGGATATTTGAGATCTGAAAACTTGAGATAAGAAAGGGCTAAAATTGCAATCAACTATATGGCTATAATTGAAATGACAATTGAATTAGAATGGCTAGAATTGCAAGGAATTAGAGTAATATAGGCTAAGATTTAAATGATTTGGAGGAAAATCAAAGAAATGCTATCCAATTAAAGTACTACATATATTAAAACAAATTATACGCATCTAAATTTAAAAAACATTTGAGTAAAAATAATTATTTCGAGTTTAACCATCGATAAATATAATAATTTATTATTAATTACGATAATTTTTTATAAAATCAAGCCTACTAAAAATATATAATTTTTAGACAAAGTCGACCAAAATTTTAGAAATCAATATATGTTTTAAAATGCGTATTTAATCGGATAGTATCCCCAAAAGGGTTAAAGGTCGGTCAAAATTGGGTGTCAACAGCTTTGTTGACACCCAATATTGACCGACCTTTAGCAATTTTGGAAACGCTATTTGTTTAAATATGTATTTTAAAAAATATGTTGAATTTAAAATTTTAATCGATTTTGTCTAAAAAATTATATATTTAGTATGCATACTTTATAAAAATTATTGTAGATACTATTAAAATATTTTAAAATTATTAGTATAACTCGAAATAATTTAAATGTTTTAAAATTTTAAGTAATTTTAATTATAGTATTTTGTAGTATTTTAATTGGATAGCATTCCTTCAAATTTTCTCAAAATTGTTTAAATTGTAGCCTCTTTTATTCTAATTCCTTTCAATTCTAGCCCATCCTATTCCAATTTATTTAATTTGTAGCCCTTTTCTTATTCAATTTCACTTTTCAGGTGTAGCCTATTATTTCAATTTGGTTGCAATTCTAGCCCTTCTATTCATTACAATTATAACCAAATTCGAACCAAACTCAACCCCAATCTCATACCCCATCTTTTAATCCTAACCCTTGATCTTTTTTATTAAATCTCAGCCTTACATCTTATTTAAATCAACGGTCAAGATCGAATCAACATTCTCTTTCCTTTCTAAGCTACCAAAAGACCAACCCTAACATTCATTTTTCATTCATCATTTCCCGCCTCTCTAAAGCCGCCGCCACTCCTCTTTTCACCGGCGGCCAGCATCGAAGGAAACAAAGCCAGCCAGCTTCACTGACGGCCAGCATCGAAGGAGACAAAGCCAGCCAGCTCCACCGGCGAGCAACCAGGCGAGAGAAGCAGCAGCACCAGCAAACGCCGGCGAACCTCCCTCTCTTCCGCTCTCTTCTCGCTGCGGCAGCCGGCGAAACAGCAAGCAGACCACCGGACCAGCAGCAACTCCGGCACCTTCTCTCCCTCCGCCTCCCCTTTCTTTCTCTCTTTTTTTTTTTTCTCTCCTCTCTTTGCAGAACAACAACAGCCAGCAGCTCCAGCGAGCAGGCTCCACCGACGGAAACAACATCTACGACCAGCAGCGCCATGCGAGAACTCCGAAGCAGCAACAACAGATCTGACTCCGGCAGCAACCTTGACCAAGCGAGCTCCGGTGAAGTCCGAAATTTGGATCGATGAAAAACGGATCTGTTGAGATCCGTCTCCGGTATTTTCTTCCAATCAATTATTATTTCATCTACTCAATCTTATGTTGTGCCTATTGTGATTATATTTTTCTTGGTATGGCTTGTTGTTTGAATGGCAAATTTCGTTCATGAGGTTTATGCATAAAGTCTTGGATTGATAGCTTATTGAGCATGCACCTGATTCAACTTGAGTTTCATTTGGGAGGTTCATCGATTTACTTCAAAAGTGTTTTCAAAATTCGTCTGTTTTAGCTGATTTTGCTTGCTCACTGATATACACTTTCAGTATCTTCAGACCCTAATGGATCTTTACATTTTTCTTATTTGAAATTAGAATCAAAATAATTCGAATGTAGGCTGGCTTGATAATTTTGCTCGTAATTGATTGATTTTCTCCTTATTCAATGTGGGTAAGTTGGGTAACGTAGGATTATTTTAATACTGATTATTCCACTTTTCTTGTCAATATACACTTATGGATCTGATTCTTGTATAGTATCATATGTGGACAATGCTTCTATTGATATAATTTCCTTAATTATGTATTATTATTCCTTGAACAGTGTAAAGTCAATTCTTGCTTTTCCTTATATGGATCAGCTTAATTTTATAATATTGTTGTTTATATGATCTCTCCTCCTTATTTAAGGTAAATTGATTTGGTGATTGCATGATTGACTCTTACTAGTCGATTTGATTTTTATTTTTTTTATTTTTAAATTGGAAAATCTCTTACTAGTTCTATTTTGATAATTATAGGATTATGTTACGGAATTAGCTCCCTTTTTAATAAGGATTTTAAAAAAAAATTAAAATATTTCTTTCCCTTATTTGTGCCCTCCCCTGCACTATATAAAGAGACTCTCTTTTTATTTTATAGATAGGCTTTAGCCATCAGAAAAAAGGGATCCGGACATTCTAACGATAGGAGAATTCTCTCACGTCTTGACTTTGCTCAATACTTGAATACTAAAAAATATATATTGTTCTCTACTCTTAAAAATAGAATTTAGTTTTTCGGTAAACATAAAAGCTTCTCTATACTTGCTATTTTGCTGTGTACGGGTCGAAAGTTGGATTAAGGGGTCTTCATTGCTGATTAATATTCTGCATAATTGGTTAGTTCCTTTCATTAGCTTAATCTTTTTTTCTTTTTCTTTTTTTTGTTTGCATTGTTTGGTCGAAATAAATAAAAGGAAGCATTCGGGTTAGTTTCCTTATCCGTTATTCCGATGTGTGATTTTACATGACTTGGTGAAATTCGTGTGTTTACTGTGAATAGCTTTTATGTTTTCTATCTATTAGTTATTATTATGCTATGATCTTGTGTTGGATGTTATTCTGTTATACAGATTTTGAACATGAAGTTCAAGTTGAAGAGTTGCCATGAGATGAGATTATTTAATTTCTGTATTTTGAATTCGTATTTATTATTTATTTTGATTTGTAATATTTGTATAACTCTTGAACTCGCTGTATATATGATATATTTGGGGGATCGGCTAAGGGGAGAGGGGGAATATGTGCTAATTATCTATTTTACTTTTGTTTATTTCATTACTTGTGATTGTTAAATATAATCTGTTTATATCTTCTAACCACATAAAAAAATTGGAAATAAATTATTATCACCTAAAATAATTGGTCAAAACCAGGCATTTGTCTGTCTATAACTTTGTTCTTTTGGAAATCTGAAATCAGTTGGCATGCCTTAAATTAATTCAATCTCTGTTAAATCTGGAACGTGTTTATATGATAATATTTATACCATTCTATGTGAAGATTCATGTATATAATCAGTAATTAAGTGAATCTGGTTTAATACCATGCATGCATTAAACTCTACTCTAAGTACTGGTTGTCTAATTAAATCCGGCTCATTATTTCTGCATGCTGAATAACTCTGGCCACTCAAAATCAATCTAAAATCTGCTTCCTACATTAATTTGCTACCACATTTAAAATCAGTAATAATAATTAATTGCAAGCTGTTTAAATTGTCTGTTTAATATTGCTTATTCAACTAATTTCTCATGTTTTAAATATTCTGCCCTGATAAAAAAAAACCAGCTACTAGATTTTTGCAAACTGACTGTCTTTTAAAATATTTCTTTGCATTAATAATAAATCTGTCACTGTTTCTAAATATATTTCTGCATTTATAATTGCTTTTCTGCCACCTTTAAAAATTAGTCTAATAAGTTCTCTGCACTTGTAACAACTTTCTGCTCCCCCCAATTAAATAATTATGTTGTCAATACGTGTCTGTATGCACACACTTAACATGAAATCCTTTCACCATTATGTGTGTTTGAAAGCATGTTTAATAAAACCTAGAGGCTAATTTGAGAGTTTACATTCTAAATGAATGTCCTATTTGTTTGACTTGGTGTCTAGGTGGGCTTATTAGGAGTTTATTTCAGTCTAAACCCTTCCTAATAGTAGTTCAATGCCTCTTGGACCTTAAGGAGGGACGCTAGGCACCATGTAGAGACGAAAATCATGTGGTGGTGGGGTAAGGGTAGTTTAGGCCCTACGGATATGATGACATCGACTCATGCTTAAAGTGACAAACCTTGGTTTTGTCTGTCCCTACACGGAAGCCTATAGAAACACTAAAGAGAAGTTGAGTGCTGATCCACAAAGTCCTTTAGAGTCTCCTTTCCTTTTATCCATTTATCTGTTTATAATTATATTTATTTGGGGTAGTTTAATTAAATAAAAAATGATATTTACTTATATACTTGTCTATTTTCTGTCTCCTTGCTTATCTCTTTATTGACTGCCTAATATCTATTTAATGTTATTTATTATATCACCTAGTTTTGGATGCTTAATTAATTAAAATAATTAAATTGATCTTAACTGTTTAATATTAGTTATCACTTAGCAAGCATGCTTAAATAAATAATAAATGAAGTGACCATAAATGTTACTTGTAACCACCACATAAATTGCATGAGACACGATCGGGACCCATATTTGTGGACCTCGAGGGATACCTAATACCTTCCCCTCGATGTAACTTGAACCCTTACCCTGATCTCTGGTTCGTTGACCTTAGTTAGACTTAGTTAGGTTAGATAGGTGGCCTAACGCGCCTTAATTCGTTAGGTGACGACTTTTCATTTTTTCAAAACCCAAAAGAGTTGTTAGGTCGTTCATCCGAAAGGAAAGTCTGTTTTGAGAAAAATGGGACACGACAGAATGGCGACTCCGCTAGGGATATTAGGTTTTAACCATTTCGTGTTTCATGCTTATGTAGGGTTTACTTGGTTATTTCATTGTTTGTTTGGTTATTAGCATGTTAAGTTGTTATTTATTTTCCTTGTTTATTTGTTTTTTTTTATTGTCTGTTTTCCATGTTCCACACCTTTCCCTTCTTCCTTATTTGTTTATTTCCATGTTTCACCCTTTCTCTTTTCCTTTATTTGTTACTTGCATGCTTAATCCCATACCCTGTTTCGTTATTTTCTTGATTCTCTAATATGTTTATTTGTTTACTCCCTTTTATTTATGAATGTATTTATTTATTTAACGCTTTCATAAACTGCATATGTGTTACTGCTTTCCACCTAAATGCTAAATGTTGTTGCTTTGATAAATTGGCATTCTGCTCATATTTCCCCCAATTGGGACCCTCTTCCTTTTTTTTTTGTTACCATGATGTTGTGCCTTTGCACCTCTCACAACTACTTCAATTCTCTTTAAACATCCAATTATAGAGAATCGACATAAGCGTGGACGGAACGGATTGTTTTACTACAGGGAAACCACAAGCCTTCTCGAATAGAATCCTTTTCAAGTCTGTGTCAAGTCAACTCTTAGAAAGTATACTTAGGTCATACATGCTGCATAAGCCCTAGGTGGTTTGACCCTTGGTGTCAATCCGCATGATTAGTAGCCACCTTATCGTCTAAACTGCCCCAACACCCTTTAGACAAATTGCATAATTACGTGTCAATGTGGTCATTATAATTAAATTAAGCCAATATTTGCCAAAATGGAGTTTATAAGTCCTTTGTTGTTTTGTTTGCAGAGTCATGGACACTTTCAACTCCTCAAACCCGCAAATGGTCGTAGAGGTAAACTACAAGCTAAGGAATTGGTGGATTGATATTAAGTGAAATCGCGAAAGAGAGATCCGTCAGTTGTTGGGTGGTCTTACCTACCTCATATTTGTCATACCAAACCCTCACCTGATTAGGGCCTTGTTGGAATTTTGGGACCCTGTGAGGATGATCTTCAAATGTGTAGATTTTGACTTGGCACCAACGATTGAGGAGAAGTGATTTCATTGACATGCCATACCACGAGTGTGAAATGATAGTACCATACAAGCCATCATCAAGGGAGTTCTTACAAAGTTTCGGAATGAAGTCAAATCCAACCTTATCTTCTTTAGACCTTGGATGGATTCATTTTGGCTTTCTATTTTCATGCTTTGGCTGAGTGGATAGTTATTACTCTTTTATTGATGAGTTTGAGTGCTCTGTCGAGGAATGGGAAACATATCGTCTAAATGCCTTTGCCATTGCTCTATTAGGATCCCTGATTTTTCCTAAGATAAGGGGAAGGATTGACACACGCTTGAGTTATGTGGTTCGAGATTTAGCCCAAAGAGAGGGCGAACCTAGGAAAACCCTAGTACCTATGATCTTGGAGAAAATAATGAGGAGTGTGTCAGCATGCGTCGATGGTCGAATGTTTTTCGAGGGATGCAACATTTTGCTGTAATTATGGGTTATTGAACACTTCTACATGCAGTCTGACGCTGTAGACATCTTTCTGGGTTATGGCAACAAGATTGATAATCATCCAAGAAGAATGGTAGCTTTCACCGCCCCTGTAGGATTCGTAGACTGGCAGATATTCTTGACAGAGCTCGAGAGCTACCGCATCCAATGGAAGATCCATTGGTTGTCCACCCCTCATGCAATAGTAATAAGCAATGACCGATACTTCATTGAGCTTATTGGCTTAAAGGGCGTTCAACCATACACTCCTCTTCAAGTACACTGCCAATTTGGGTGAACTCAAGTAATACCACTCCGATCAGACATGGAGCAGTTCAAGTATGAATTTGGACTAGATAAATCGCAAGTCCACATCATACTCCGAAGATGAGAGCGAGTGTTGACCATTCCTATGGGTGCACGACAGGCCTTATGCATACGTGAGTATTACATATGGATCCTAAAGAAGGTTAAAGACAAAGAAGTGAGCGGGGGAAAGATACTATGGGCTCACTGATGAAAGGGAAAACATATGGGCACGCAACGTGTTGAAGATCGAGAATGAAGTCACTCCCTATACAAGAAGTCAATTGGCGCCTAAGCTCTTGGAACCGATATCTTCAAGATTTTCAGAATTTAGGATGACTTTTCCATTGTTACCCCCTTTCCCTTAGTTTATTTCAGTTTTTGTTTGTCAATTATGATGTATTGTTCGAATTTTATAATAAATAAAGTTTCTTTATTTCTTCTAATATAAACTCCAAATTGGCAAATAAGACTTGAATTAATTATTATGCATCACTTATATGTCGTCTTAGGCCTACCTCTGGCTCAACGAGGCTCTTTGCATTTCGGGCATTTATCTTAAAACAATGTGCTTGTTATCTCAATTAATGTAACGCTGTAACTTGGGTTTTCTTTTGCTTTTACTTTTATTTTTATCCTTCCCCAATGGTTGATCTGTAGACCATGGTTTACCATACGCGATCAAAGGACAATTTTCCTTCTCTTCCAAATGAGACCCACAAAGGGAAGAGGAAAGCTACTAATGAGAAGGTTATGAGTAAGACTATTGAAAAGAAGCATCCTTTAGAGGAGTTGGACTAAAGCCTGAAAAAGAAAATAAGGGAATTAGAAGAAGAAGTGTCTGATATGCACGGGTGGGCCAAGTTGATACTCTCTGTCGATCCCACTTGGGAGACAAACATAGATAAGCCATATGTCACAAGTCAAGCCACTCTCAAAGATAATCCCCCACCAACTTACCCCACTTCGCAAAATCAACCAAGCTCCATTCAAATGCCTCCAAAGAACACTCACTTTCCAAATTACCCATATCCTCCTCATAATCATGCTTGTGCTTCCAGACCTCCATATCTTACTCCGAGTCTGCCGAGTCCTCCTTTACAGGCTCCTCAATATCAAACACCTCTACACCAAGTCCTTTGGTATTGTGCGCCGCTCATACCATATCAAATCCCTTCATATCAAAAGCCTCCATGTCTATGTTTGCTCAAATAGTAAATTAGTCAAGCACATTAGAATATATTTTAAAATTGGTCTAAAATCAATTCTGTTTATAATTTTGTCATTGTTTATATTATCTGACTAGTAATATATTTAGATGTCATGCCTATAAGGTTTAAATAATTTGATCGATTTTTGGGTTAGAGTTCATATTCATAGGCGTCATTAATTAATTTCTTGCATGTAAAATATAATGAGTTAATTTTGTGTATATTTTGCTGCAAAAATAATAATAATAATAATAATGTAAAGTCATTTGCCGGCATATTTTATTAAATAAAATTAATATGATTACCTTCTGCTCTGTACTTGCTTTAATATTTCCTGCTTGTTTAATTTCCAGCATGAAAACGGTTTTAAAATAATATGTCCTGCTTTAATTATCAATTAATTCGGTCACTGTTTAAGCGGATGTTGCGACATATTCATTTTCTGCCAATTAAAATCAATCAATTTCCAGTATGCTAAACCACTAAATAATTTGCGTGATTAGATATTTGCTCAAAAATTATTTTCTGCATTTTAACTGCCACTTAAATTAAATTCTGCACTAATAAATACCTTTTTCTGCTGTTCTAAAAAAATAATTTTCTGCATCTGCTACTTGCTGCCCCGATTAAATCCTGTTTGAATTAATTTCTGCACTGTTTTTCCACTTGAAATAAGCTAAAACAATTTCTGCATATTAATTAAAGCCATTCTGCCACTGGCTCATCTATAGACTTAAAATCTGCTCTATTTTTGAGATTGTTAGTTGAATTAATTAGCCACTGTTTTCCTCATAATATATAGGCCCGATTGAAATTAACTATTAATACTTGTTCATTGATTATATGCCCACACATCTAAGCATGAGACCTTTTTCACGTTACTTGTGCTTGCCAGCATGCTTAAATAAAAAAATTAGAGGCCAATTTGAGACTTATGTGCTAAATGTTAGAACAAATTGTTTGACTTGGTGTGTAGGTGTGCTTATTAGGATTTTATTTTAGTCTAAATCCACCATAATAGTAGTCCAATGCCTCTTAGATCTTAAGCGGGGACGATATGCACCTTGTAGAGACGAAAAGCATGCGGTGGTGGGGTAGGGGGTAAGTTTTAGGCCCCTATAGAGATGATGACATCGACTCAGTCTTAATGACAAACCTTGGTGTTGTCTGTCCCTACGAGAAGCCAATTGAAATAAAGAAAGTCGAGTGCTGATCCGTAAAGTCCTTCAGAGTCTCCCTTTCCTTTTGTCCCTTTATTTGTTTATAATTATATTTACTTGGGGTAGTTTAATAAAATAAAAAAATATACTTGTCTACTTTCTGTCTTCTCGCTATCTCTTTTAAATTTTATTTAGGTTAATTATTTAGTATTATTATATCACCTAGTCTTGCATGCTTAATCAATTAAATAAATAATTGAAGTATCGTTAATTGTTCAATG